GGTACCCCACTATGTTTACCATCAGGCTTTGAAAAAGTTGCATGCATAACCGTAATACCATAGTACCTAAATGTATAATATAAAATGCCTAACTTTGTGGATAGAATAAGAGAGATCTACAAAGTTACGCTATCGACATTGCTGATCCTAGAGGTAAGGAGGACGCGTGTCATGTGAACTTCGTAAGAGACCTCTCTCACCGTGGAGTCTCTGTGGCTCAGTGCTGGAGCATTGGAGCGCGGAGGCCGAAGTTCTCAGTTTCAATTCCTCGTGAGGACTCAGAATTTTTTCATTGTCCCACGCTCGTTAGAAGACAAAAGAAATGCCTAAGTTATTACAAAATTCCATAACCGCTATTGCAAAATGCGTAGGTTTTTTTGAAGAATCCATCGCTATTACAAAAAGGCCGCAGAACAGCTGACTCTTACACAATAAAAATGATTTATCCTTGTTTCATTAGAAGTCTTTCGTTTTAACATCAATTGAGATAAGAATTAATACAACGCAGATCCTGAACCGGATGACCTTAGGATCCAGGCTCGGAAGCTAAGGGAAGAGTTACGTTTACACATCAACATTTTCTTGCGCATGAACAGCTCTGTAGTAAATCAACGACGTCTTTTACAGAGAAACCTTTTACATTCTTGTTTTATGTCCCTTTTGAAGCAAGCGTAAGCTAAAGGGTTTATTCCAGAGTTAATCGCTTGTAAAGTTCCTTTATAATGAAAATAATTACATGGATGACCTGTCAAAACTAACAAACTGCAGCGCATGATTATTCCGTAACACGATAGAATCATTATCAAAGCGACCCATTTTACCGCGGACGAGTTCTGAGTTTTAACTTTATACTCAGCGACCATTTGATTAAAGCGCGATTGCTTAGCTAAAATGTTATCTTTAGATTTTTGCTTGTGAACGACAAGAAGCATAGACGAAAGGTAAAATAATTAAATTACGCACAAGCTTACCTCAAAAAACAAATGCAAATAGCCGCTGATACGATGGACTGAATTGAGTTTCTTGACAATACTATAAGACTGAAAAGAAAATGGATTCCCCAAGATATAAGAACCATTTGATTGACTAGGTGGCGTTTCATAAAAGTTAAGTATTTCAAAGGTTTCACGACGACGATATATCGTTCCGATACTAAAGTAATCAAGTTTGTTCCAGAGGCGTGAAGTATGAAAACCCATATATATGTTATGATCAAATTTGATTTTTTAACGGAGCTGCTCTCATTCATCACGTTGCAAAGAAATTCTGAGGGAGCTGCTATCATCCCATACCAAAAATCAGCCACCACTAAAGACACGATGAATGTATTGCTTTTCGTGCGTAGCTGACGATTGTTTCAGACGAGGAAGATGACAAATCCATTTCCAGTCATCGTTAGGATACAGAGGAACCAGCTGAAAACCCAAAACCAAGTTTCCATTGAAGTTCTTCTCGGTGGCTGTTCGGGACTCTTCAATTGTCTTCTTGTTTAGAGGGGAGAGGACTTTTAAAAACTTTCAGAAGGAACGTTACAAAGGGGTCTTACAAAACCCTCTGGCCCCTTCTACCGTTTGTGTGAAAGCTAATTATTTAAATAGCTTTTGTTACGTATCCTAATACATTTTTATAAGATGCTTTAATGCCTGTTTATTGGTTTTGCAAAAGCACGGACCAACAAAATTGGATAATTCTTCCTGAATTAATTTTATTTTCTCCCTATCACTTAATAAGTTTAACTTTGCCTCACATGAAATATTAAAAAAAGGTTCTATTTTGAGAATATCAGTATCGCAAGCAAGAACTGAATTGATCAGAATTAGACACCTATTTCAAAAATTATTTCCATTGAAGGTAACTTCAAAACACGTAATCGATAGTCAGTGCGGAGCCAAAATCGCCTACTTTTAGTTAAAGTGATTGACGTCACTACGTAAATTTTAATTAGATTTGATATCCTTAATGACCGGATAATTCTCTACTGTTCCAATTTAAAAACTTAGAACTTAATCTTATAATTTTTTTTACTAGAAGTCGATATGCAAAACCTGACCTGACATGTAGAATTAAGTCGCTCCCCTTATGATTCAGCAGGGCTCAAAAATTGATGCAGATGAAAGATAGAATTACTATAAATTTAATGCGACAAAATTTATTCCTTCATTTCAAGTGCGCTATTTTCTTTAATGTCATGCAAAGGGCACTTTCATTCGCCGGGAATAGGTTTTAAAGTGATCCAGTGTTATGAAAGCCTAGAAAAGAAAGATATCAAATATATATAAATCCATAAACATTGTTTGCAGGGATAGAATCTCCAGCTTTTCCTCATTTGTCTCGTTAAAAAAGTTTGTTCTTCATTTAAGTTTCAAATGCTAGCACCAAGGGATTTGGTGTGTGCACCAACAAAAAAATATGAAAAAATTTCGGGCGTGTTCGCGCTCGACAAGAGCAATTTCTTTTCACGTAGTTATTTTTGTTGCGTTAGTTTGGTTGTGCGGTTCCTTCACTGGAAAATGTGCAAAGCCAACAAAAGCGGCCGCAAATGTGCCGGCCGAAAGTATTTTCTGTCCGAAGATTTAGCCAATTAGTCTGAGCAACCGAACAACACATAAATAGCGTGCACAACCGCAAATGCCGGAAGTTGACGCATGCGTATACGTTTTGCCGCGGTGTTTCTGTTAAGTATTATTTATCATCCTGATGTTAAAATGTTGTAAGAACAATAAAGTGACCCATGAGGTGAAGGTGAGAGTGTCACTGAAGCTCTTACCGCATATTGACATCCTCTCTAACATATGACTGAGTAGACCCATGGCAACATAAATTCATCTTGTTCTATATGATAACAAAGAAAAACATTATGTTAATGACGAGGTCATCTAGGCGTCTATCCTGTAATACATCATACGAGAGAATTATCTACAGATGAATGGATCCATGCAACTTTTTTTCCAAGAAAGACTGAAAAAATAGGCTGACACCAACAGTGTCAAAAATTATTTCTTATTCATACAAAATAAAGTTCGTGCACGCGAGTTGCGCGAACGCATTTTTGATCGCTCAGCGCTGATTCAGATGTTTCTGTCTAACTATGCTTAATCCGTCAGTTAATTCGCCTAAAAAAGAGATTGAAAGCCCCCAATTCGAAATTGCTGCTCTGAAGAAAACTTTCGAAGATTTTCAGAGGTCTCTTAAACGTAGCATGATCGATGTTTATGTCTCTAGCAATGACGGCGAAGTGCGTCGGCTGGCAATATTTCAGCAAGGGACTTTGAATATCCTGCAATTCTATGGCAATTCGTACGATGACCCTCGCCAGGAAGCGGACAAAAGTTTGCAACAGCTCTGGTCTCTCCTGTGTAAAGATCCCGGCTTAGTCTCCCTGAAAGAAAAGCTAAAGAGTTTTCCTCCGACACAACTATACTATGTTGAAGCCTCTTTCAAGCTGCAGGAGTTGAAATTTCAATTCAAGATATCGATATTGGTGATCACACTCCCACCAGAAGGGCCACTCCTGGCCCGAGACTAGTCGTGTGCAGGATTACTCGAAGGATTGCCGAAGAAAGGTTATAAATGCACGGAAAGATGCTTCAAAGATTATAGCTTCTTCAATTGGTTTACGGGCCGATTGTACATTAGAAAACGCGAGGCTTATTTAATCATTCAACTAACATTGCAGGTCCAATAACTCCTGGCAGATCCAAAAAAACTCAAATTCGTAATGGCTTCAGGTTACCTCGAAAGATTTGCTCAACAGGGGAGCCTAATACCCGTAATTAGGTACTCTGAAATTTTTAACTTAATCTGTAATTCAATGTGTTGTTTCTATGATGGCTGATGAGACATCTTCTTATCTCACCACCCTTTAAATCGCTAGGGGATAGTTTTTTTAATTAAGCAATTTATGAATATTCTCATGGTTCCCTGAGTTACAACGGCGATCGTCTTCAAACATTTTAATTTAACCCTGTTGAACGGCTTCAATCTTTTAAATTCGCTTTCTAGTTATCTGAATCTTGACTCCAACTTTGTCACTCGTTTGCCCAACAGTGGCTATATGGTTAAGGAAGATCTAAACATTAGGGTAACTTCTTTTCGGCCAGCTAGTAACAAAATAATGAATATCACCGTGTTAGAAGACAAAAATAGCTTTCTCTAAGATTAATATTGAATCGCTCTTAGATTCCTGTTGTTCTACCGCCCTTCACGCAAGTTAACTGATTATAAATTCAGTGCGGAGGATGAAAAATAGAAGTTTTGGACACTTATGGTCACCTTAGAAGAAAGAAGTGTTGAACGTGCGAAATAAAAAATAAAGAATTATTTTCCTGATTAGGAATTCGACATTGGATTAACCAAAACAGCAGCCTTTGAAGAATGAAATGGCTATAGTATATAGCCGAGAGCTCATATCTTAAAAACCTTTTTAACCAGAGAACGTTTTTTTTATCTTTTTCACTAAGAATGAAAGTGTCGCTAAATCGGATTTGTATTACAATTGAAAGCAGCTTTGGAACGGTCACGTTTGGGCATTTATTTGAATTTTAGATTTAAATTTCATAAATGGTTTTGAAGGCTGATATGTAAATTATTTAGTTTCTAGAAACAGTTCTCTTTTAACAGTTCGAAAATTGATTAGAGAGGAAAGAAAAAAAATGGGCAAGATGTACGTTCAGCTCCAAACTTCGTCTTGGTAAAAGAAACTATGGCGAAAACAACAGAGTTGCCTTTAGGACTAATGCTTTGTTTAAGAATAGCATAGGGGTTACACAGAAATCTCTCCGAAAATAGCAACAAAGCCTGCCTGTGTATTGAATACCATCAACTCCACTTACACGTTAAACAAAAAGGTCTACCTTTCAGACAGTGGAATCTCACACGTTTCATAAAATGCCGTTGATTTTGCACCCCGTAACCTTTTTATGCGTTTGTTTCTGACAAATCAGAAGCGTAAGATAAGAATCATGGTCGGGTAACCGCTCATGTTTTTTATTCTTGCTCAGACCTCCCTCGGCCCTTCCCGATGTTGATAAGATAAATGTGTGCTCTCAAGACACACGTCAATACAGCTCAACTCAACCACACGAACCGAGGAGAGGAAGATTTCGCTCTCGCATCATGTCCTTAGCCATGCCAACTCTTCTTTTGATGTTCGTACTGGATTTTGCCGCAATCTTTTTCAACGGACTACTGCTACTGAGCTGCTTCAGACATGAAAAAAAATACAGATTTTTCAAAAAGTGCTGGATACTTTTAGGTCTTCAGGTCGCTTGCCAAGTTGTAATTCTGGTCGCGGATGCCGTGGAATGGTGGAATGGTTTCCGTATTCAAGCTACGGAATCCTGTAATGTCTTGAGAGTTCTTTCCTTGTCCATGATGTTTTTTCAAATTACTAACCTTACGGCAATCATGAAAGTGTGTTATCAACATCCCTCAGTACATGCAGAACATAAATTGTACGCGGTGCTTTTTTTGGGATTCATCGCTTCCGCAATGATCTTTTGGCCTTGGTGCTTCTCGAAAACGGCCATTTTTCAAGTCGTCCATAAAGCTGCGTTGCTTTTGACCATGTCTATTGACGTCTATTTGGTTTCCGTAGCCTTGGCTAAAGACAATGCTGAATACAATGAGGAGTTCATGTCATCAAAATCAGACGCGGCGATGGATTCACGTTTCTTGTCACGGTCTTGGAGAGCTTGGACAGACAACAAGAAGTCCTTATTCGTTATCGTTTTTCTTGCAGCATGTTCGGTGCTGATTTTCAGCGACGTGGCCCTTGCTCGTTTCGAATCAGCTCTATGGGGTCGCGATTTGAAAAGAGACACGTCTATTGATGGAACTGTTTATTTACTGATCCTGAAATTTTGTTTGGGAACATGTTTGCCATTAACACTGTATGATTTAATAAATTTAAGCTATCCCAGAAAGAAAGGCAAAGGCACCATAACAGTAACAATTTGAAAGAAAGCTTGTAACAAATGGGTTTACTCGATCTTCCTATGAAGGCTTTTTTTTTTTTTTTTTTTTTTTTTGTAAAGTAAAGAAAACAAGTGGCTACTTATTTTGCATTTCATTGAATCACACTATGTTGTGATATTCTTCGTTATTCTTATTTCTCCAAAGAATATCAATTAGGTTGACTTCAGAGGCACTGTTTTTTGTAGTTTCTAAATTTTAAAAATCTGAGGAAAGGTATTATTTGAGCTCACATTGGAATAATTGGATTATACGAAAAAAAATCCTCTTTTTTATTACAGCTAATACTAATAACTTCTAAGTCTAGAATTTCTTTGAAAATCTTGTCGCCAATGTTTTTAGATCTTTTATATTGTTCATATCAATTGTTACACAGTTCTAGCATTTTTTATCAAAGAAGAAGGGAGACACCAGACGATTTAAGGCAGCAAATATTCCGTTATTAAAGACGATAAACGTGTTTGAGTCAATATTAGCAGCCTGGAAGACTTTAAAATTGCACATTAATTTGCATTTAGCTTTCCCTTTTTCTTTGAAGTAAAAATTTGTTTCTAGGAAACTCCTTGATTAGTCTATGAATGTCGTTTCGGTCTTTTTCCGACTTCGATCAGAATATTAATTGATTTTTCGTTATTCGTTAAACAATTGTCCGTTTAAAAGTTCATCACAAACTATTCAAGGACTTCCCTAAGCTCCGTAGCAGTCTTTACACTTTTTTCTATTCGAAGTAAAATCCTATCTCTTGTTGAAGATATCACTCGTTCTAACACTCAAGACAATTACTGAACTCGCCTTTTTTTGAGGAAAAAAAGGAAAAAAATCTTCAATTTTATTCATAGGTTCACTTTCTATCTAGAAGTAAAATTTTGTTTCTAGGAAACACCTTGATTAGTCTATGAATATCGTTTCGGTCTTTTTCAGACTTTGATCAGAATATTAACTGATGTTGGAATATTCTTTATACGCTTGCCAGGTTATAAATCACAAACTATTTTAGCAGTCTTTGCCTTTTTTCTCCTTGAAGTAAAATCCTATCTTTTGTCGAAGATATCACTCGTTCTGACGCCCAAGACGACGGCTGAATTCGTCTTTTTTCTTGGAAAAAATGAGAAGAAAAAAATTTTTTTCCAAGATTCATTATCCACTTGGCAGCTGGTGTGTCTTTATTATGTGGTGAGCCATTTGACTCACGAAGTCACCCACATTATTCGGCTCTCTCTAACACGAAAACATGAAAGGCAGTTAGGAAGTCTTTATTCACATCGTTTTACTTATCTATCTTTCTCAACAACCGTGGAATTCCATTTAGCAGGAATCTTTAAATTCTTCTTAGCTGTTTCCAAAGAATGGCAAATTTTAGGATTTTTTTTCTTGGTTACGGTACTGACCAAACAATTCCAGTTGGAAAATCACCGGCGAAAAACAAAACTCGTCCGCTTAACGACTTTATCGTATCATCTCACTTCAATTTTAGCGAATAACTTTAGCTCTTTTGACATTATAAATGTTTCGATTACTATTAACGATTCCTAACATTTTTATTTTCCTAGTTGGTATTTTATGATGGTAATTATTATTATGATTATTTTCTTACACGGTAAAACTAGCTGTTTTTTTGGAGCGCTAAAACTGTGAAAAGTTCACACCCCGTTTTTAAAAGAAGTAGGTTATGTTAACGATAGCGAATTTCCTTTCTTCCTCTCGAAAAATTTCATGCACTCAATCTTTCTCCTCATGAGCGAGGAGCAAAAAATATCCTCTCTTCTGTGAAGATGTTCACTTTTGATGGCACTCAGGAACACATAAATTCGTAGGTGCTGCGAAATAAAACAGAGGAGATTGACAACGACTAATTACTTTCTAAGGGCTGCCCTCGCGAGGCAAACCTGAGACATTACTAGCCTCGCTTTCTTACGACTCAACCCGGGCCGAATGAGTAGTCTGTCATATTTGGGTGCTCTATTTGGCCTTCAAGGATGATGACATTGACTCGATTACTGATCGGACTGCTGACTGTGTATTTGTCATTTGCTTATGGATGGAGCGAAACGAGCTAAAGCTTAACAAAGAGAAAACTGAAATATTATTAATTCGCTCTAAATTTCGGAATAGCCCTTTACTGGACGAGATCATCCTTGGCAAATGAACAACTCACCATGGCTACAACAGTTACTAATCTTGGAATCATCTTTGACCAGGAAATATTGTTCAATGATCAGATAAATCAACATTGTAGAACTTCGTTTTTCTTCTCTAGAAACTTGTTTAAAATTCGTAAATATTTGACAGATGAGGCCACTTCTAAGGTAGTACATGCTTTTCTAACTACAACGCTAGATTAGGGTAACCATCTTTACTTTTGTCTACCCAAATATCAATTTTAAAAAATGCAGAGGGTTAAAAACACAGCTGCTCGACTGGTCACTGGTTCTTCGAAGTACGATTACATCACCCCTTTTATTACAGCAACTTCACTGGTTTCCTGTTTCGTATCGCGTTGTTTTCAAAATTTTACTCCTTGTCTACAAAGCTCGTCATGGACTGTGCCCTGGGTATGTCTCTGAACTATTACAGGAGAGAAAATCATCTCGAGCATTGCGCTCAAGTTCTCTAGGACTCCTAGCAACACCAACATCAAGAACAAATTCATATGGAGATAGAACATTCTCAGTCTGTGCACCAAAATTATGGAATTGCCGGCCTAACCACGTCAGATATGTTGGAACACTGCCTTTATTTAAAAAGAATCTAAAAACATATTTATTTTCTATATTTGTCGACAGTTATCGTGTTCATTTTTAAATAATTTTCATTAATTTCTTATACTTATTGTAAAGTGCCATGAGAGTTCTTTTTGATATGTCAGCTATATAAATACTGGTAATTGTTATTATTTATTATATTTGCATTCGGTATAATGATCAAGAAAATTATCGATGTAGGTTTTACCATCACTCAAAGTTTCTGTTGCTCGTCTGGCGGGCTTTCCCCTTTCAAGAACGTTTTAGA